CAACTGTCTTTACCTGCTGAGCGCTCTTGCTGGCCAGTGGTTTTCTGGTTTAAAAATATATAGCTATTCTGTATTCTAGATACCAACTCGCTGTGTGAAGTGCAGCTGCAAGGACTGTCTCCTGCTGTGATGGGTTCCCTCTGATGATATTCATTGTGCAGGAGTATCTCCCCCCATCCCCCTCTGTTGTTCTTGTGTCCGGTGCTGTTCAAGATCATTCAGAAAGTTCTGGCCTATGCCTCTATGTCTTGAAGTGTTTTCTCTAGAATTGTCTCTAGCATTTTCAGCATTCAGGTTTTATATTAAGGTCTTTGATACGTTTGAATTGATCGTTGTGCAGTGTAAGAGATAAGAATCTGTTTTATTCTTGTGTGGCCTTATATCAAGCTTAGCTGGCACCATTTGTTGGATAGACTATTTTCTTCCAGTATATGCCTTTCACATCTTTGCCAAAGATTGAATGGCTATCACTGTCGTGCTACTTTTAGGTCTTTCTTTCTGTTTCATTGGTGTCCTCACCTGTCTGTGACAACCTTATACTGCCTTTGTCACTGTAGCTCTGTAGTGTAATATGAGGGTTGGCAGCATGATGCCTTTAAGGGTTGTTCTTTCTGGTGAGGATTGCTTTGACTGTTGGTGCATTTTGTGTTTCTATTAGATTTCAGTTGTTTAATGTTCTGTGAAGAATGCCACTGGAGTTTTGATGGCAATTGCATTGAATCTGTAGATTGCTTTTGTTAATATAGCCATTTTCATGATATTTTGTCTTTTGTTCAGTTGAACTTGTTGCTATTTCACTTACTGAATAACAGAATCAGATGAGCTGGGTGATGATCACCACAGGATTGTTATAGAGGCTGTTGTTTATCTTGTTTTTGTTCAAATTGTGTTCTTTTTAGATGGAAGGAAATGGTCCTGACCATTGGTGACACAGTTGCTCACTGAATTCATTTCCTGTGTGTGTCTCCGCCATTTGGAGAGTCCTATTTCAGAAGCTGAGCCTCAGCACTAACTGGCATTTAGGTGTAAGGAGTGAAGCAGCATATCGTGGACCTTAGCTTATAATCCATTTATGCTTCCAGCAGTCCTGTCCTATGTTTGTATTCTGGGTTTCTCTATATGATTGCTATAAATTGATAGGGTGGTTCTTATATTAGAGACAATCATAAGCTGTTTTGTTTGTTTGTTTGTTTGTTTTATTTTCAAGACAAGGCTTCTCTTTGTAGCCTTGACTCTCCTGGAACTCACTCTATAGCCCAGGCTGGACTTGAACTCACAGAGATCTGCCTGCCTCTGCCTCCTAAGTGCTGGGATTAAAGGCGTGTGCCACTACCACCCAGCCAGACTGGTTTTTTTGTTTGTTTTTGTTTTTGTTTTTTGTGGGTTTTTTTGTTTTTTTGTTTTTTTAGATACTCAAAGGCATGAATTGAAACTTATTTCACCCCCCCCCCCTTTTTTTTTAATAGATGAATGCAGCCTTCAGCTAAGATAGTAGCTGGAGTTCTTTGGTGCAGACTAAATTAATCCTATTTCCCCTTTGAAGGGTAGGGAAGTCATGGCTTAGGTTGCCTGATAGGTCCATAGTACCTTACTTCATGACCTGGGCAGCTGAGATCCCAGCTGATCCCTAGCTGGTAATTCCTCACCACTCTGGTATGTCCTAACATTGCCAAGGAGGCCGGCAGGATTTAGAGAACAGGAAATAAGCTGTTGGGAGATAAGGCGGGCAGCTGTGCATTGCAGACAGGACAGGAAATGAGGATGAACAGGCCAAACAAACATTAGCAGTTCTACTTCATTTTTAAACCAAGAAGCAATGGAAAGACTTCCACTTCCAATTCAGAGGCATCCACCTACTCAGTTGTGCCAATTAGAACGTGGGGTGAAGAAGCTTGTGTGTAAGTACCACATTTCCAGTGATTGCTGCATTTCAACTCAGAATTCCAGAAGGATGAAGCTGAGTCAGAATGTCTTGTTTATCCAACAGTAGCAACTGTGTTATCTTAAAAAAAACCTTACTTTAATATTAGAGATAATTTGAAGTACATTTCGCCTCTGCTCTTTTGTGTTTGTGTCATTCTGTGACTGCAGGTTATTTCCATGAAGAGGCGTTTCCTTGATGATTACCAAGTATGCGATTGCACATGGCAGTGGCCACTAGTGGCAGAACATCTATTTTACAGATACCCTTACAGTAGATGAATGTTCACTATGCCTACCCAAAGAAATCATTTTAAAACTGCAGTCATGAATGTTCCTGTTTGTCGTTTCATTCTTTGATAGCCATTCTGAAATGGTTATGGGCTACTGGGAAAAAAGAGATCAACTTGTAACCACCCACATATCTGTGCAGTGTAGTGCTCAGGCCAAATTACTGTCAGATCTGGAGGGAGTAAAGGAATCTGACATTATTGACTGTTAGGAAATTCTGAATTTTATGATACATTCAAATGTCATTTTGAAGATTTAAGTTGTTGATTTAAAAAAAAATCAAATCAACTAGATTTACATAAGGCCCCCACCTCTGTACATTTGCAACTCTTTAATTATATATTATGCCTGTTGATTAATCTGAACTCTGGGGCCAGAGATGCCTTAATTTCTTTCTTTGGCATCTAACAGTGTTTAGTTCATCTTAAGCATACAGGCAGTATTTACTGTTGTTAAAGTGCCTTTGGGAATTTGAAATATTTTCAGTACTTTTTATAGTTCAAAGATAATTTGATAAGTATTAAAGCTTCCAATTTTATTATCATTTCAGAATACACTAAAAATAGTTGGTCATTTTGGAGATGTCCCCAGCAGCACAGATCCTGCATTGACAGTGATAGCCACAGCACATATGTCAGTGATAGAAATGCAGAGCTGGCCAGAGTAAGGGAGGAGTCTCAGTCAGTGTAGGGCATGACTGGATGAGATAACTTAGGGATTTCTTGCAAGTTGACTGGATTGTGGTAGCCATCAACTGGATTAAGTTTAAAGATTGCTGGGTTCAAAAGATCAAAACTTAACAGTTTTCTTTGTTTTTAGTAGTGTTATAAAAATGCCATAATACTTTTTACCTTTAAAAAAGTTGAGGTAAGCAAACTAGGGTCAGCCTAAGTCAGGCTGTTCTTGGGGGCCCCTTAGTGTATCGTTCCTCAGAAACACATGTAAAGATCTTCAGATCAGATGTGCCCACTACATAGTTAGGAGACGTTACGGGATTTGTGTATGGTTGGTCTGGAAGGAGGAGGTATTACACACATGAGGAGGGTCTGGCATTGGAGGAGGTCCATTAGACTTAGGTTTACTTCAACTGCAGAGCCTAAGTTAGAGCTTGGAAACCATTTACAGTGCATAGCTCAGGAGAGATAAGAGCGAGTGTCTTGATTGACTCGAGTGCTTTTGCTGATCAGTGGCAGTCCTCTACTGACACATCAGCGGCATCCATGTGCCTGTGGCTGTTCTGAGCTCACTGAGGGTGGTAGAAGTGATTCATAGCCTCCAACTCAACATCAGCCACATAGCATAAGTACAATAATGACGCTGAGTTCATCACTGTCACCAGGTGCTTACAGTGGTGGGGGCAGTCACATGGTGAACCTTGAGATACTGGTTTCATGGCTTACATTCTTGAGACTAGGCAGTAGCTCACTGCTGCATGGATGTTCCTGACCCTTTTCATTAGGACTCCCAAACTTGCCAAGTGTATGTTATGTAGACTGACAAACCACCTGACAGACTTCCTGTCTTTTTAAGTTTTATCATTATTATGTCTGTGTGTTTATGATGAGGAGCGTTCACGTGCTTCTACACATGTGTGGAGGTCAGAGGGTAGATTTGTGGATGGTTCTCTCTGTGTACCTTTACACATGTTCTAGGGATCAAATTTTGATTTCTAGGCTTGAGGCAAGTACCTTTACCCATGGAGACACATATTACTGTCCCTAGACTTTCTACCTTTTTAGATTAAAAAAAAACAAAAACAAAAACAAAAAACCCCCCAAACTTGTTTATAATTGAGAAAGATGGAAGAAATTTCTCTAGATTTAAGATTTTCAAAAATTATACTTTTAATTTCTTTCTAATTAAAAAATTAGTAGTGCATATTAATTTTACAAAAGGAGTTAGGTTCCCATACTCATAAAATTAAAAGCTGTTTTAGTCACTGTCCTATTACTATGAAGACACACCACAACTAAGGCAACTCTTGTAAAAGAAAGCATTTGACTTAGGCCTGCTTATGGTTTCAGAGTCTTACTCCATCCATTATCCTTATCATGGCAGGGAACATGGCACAGGAGCAGTACCTGATCCAGAAGCACTGAAGGAGAGAGAGAGTGTGTGGGTGACACTGGGCCTGGTGTGACACAAGGCCACACCTACTCCAGTAATGCCACACCTCCTAATCCTTCTAATCTTTTCAAATAGGGCCACTCCTGGTACCTAAGCATTCACTAGGATGATATGAGCCTCTTGGGGGTCATTCTCATTCAAACTACTACAGAAGCTTATAACTTCATGTTTTCTCTCAGAAAAACCCAAAGCGACTTGAATGTTTCAACTGTGTGTTTTCCACATTGGCTTTGTTAGATGATGAGATGTTCAGAAATATGATAGTCCAGTAAAGATAGAAAGTTAAGCCTCATCTTTCCTTTTTCCTATATTAAACAAATAATGCATGATTCAAAAATGGTTACTATGTGAAAATCATTTTTCTACAGCACAGGACCAGCAAATGAGAGATCGTCTCACACCTGTGAGAGACAGGTGCTGGGTTCAGGTGGGGCCTTTGTTTTCATGTTGGGGTATATATTTCATTGTTTGTTCAGGTGTCTTCTGTCTTCCAGGACATGTCATGTGTGTCTTCTTGCCATGTCAAGTGTGTCTGGATTCATGTGGACTTTACCCAGTTGCTCTGCTATTCCCTACACTCTCCCATCCTTTTCCTATTTAATTCTGGGATTTGAGTCCTTTATAGAAATGAACTTGATCAGTTGTTTTTCTTGTTTTTCTAGGTTGTGCTGGTGAGATGGAATGAGCCGTACCAGAAACTGGCCACATGTGATGCAGATGGAGGGATATTTGTGTGGATTCAGTATGAAGGCAGGTGGTCTGTGGAACTGGTCAATGACCGTGGGGCCCAGGTGAGTAGATGGTAGAATTCTTCCAGTGAAACACTGCTGCTTAGAGATCAACAATTCAAAAAAAAAAAAAAAAAAAAAAGTGTTTTTAGTACCCACGTGGTGACTGTGGCTCACAACCATCTATAACTCCAGTTCTGGGGGACCCAATACCCTTTTGTGGTCTTTGTGAGCACTCGTGCTTGTACATTGTATCCATACATATATCTGGACAAAAAGCTAATACACATTAAAAGCAAGAATCCTATGCTTTAGCTAGATGGATAACTACAGCACTGCAGACCCTTAAGCAGTGTTAGAAAGGTGCCTGTCTCACAGAGTTCATAAAGAGTGGCTATCTCCACACCTCAGATTTGACTTTGGGCTGCCATGTGGCTACTGTTTTGACAGGTGGGCACTGTGCTGGGAGCTATGAGGCAGTATCTCTGTGAGCCTGCAGGTCATACACAGTGAAATCTGCTAGGTGTAAACAGGGTTTGAGGCATGAGTTTCCTGAACGGTTTGATTTAATTCTCAGTGACCCTGAGACAGGGGCATTACTGTCACCTTGTTATAGATGAGAAAACAGGCACAGACAACTACCTTGCACTTAGAAATCAAAGGCTGGGCTTCTGGCCTGTGCTGTCTGACCACAGAGCTCATGCCTTTGACCTTGCAAAGTGACATGCACATCTCATGGACCGGCAGACTACTGCATTTGAAGTTTTCCTTCAAAAAGGCTGATTAGTGTCACAGGGCAGGTACCATTTCCTCCTTTCCCCACTCTGAGGACGATGGAAACAGATGGAGCTTTATCGGTGCCAGGGGATCCCATTCTGCTTACCTACTAAAAGAGTCAATAGGCTATGAAAAACAATCACAGAGATTAGCACATGGACTAAGACAGCAAAGGAATGACCACCAGAAGTGTCTCAGAGAGTCCAAACTAAACATGGAGCTACTGCTCCAGCACCTGCCTGCATTCTGCCATATCTCACCATGACTATAGTGGACTGACCCTCTGAAACTGTAAACAAGCCCCCCAATTAAATGCTTGCCTTCATAAGACTTGCCTTGGCATATGACTAAGACATATGCCACAAGTGCTTTTTTTATTCCATGTGTTTTTTTCTCAAGCTTCACAGGAACTTTATTCTGAAAATTTGCTATTCTTAGCAAATAGAAGACAAACAATCCAAGGTGTTCAATAACTTGCCCAAGGAGGCTTATGGGCATGAAAATGAGAACCCAAACCCCATTGTTCTTCTAAAACATTCTACCACATTGTTTCTAGAAAAAAAAAAAAAACAAAACAAAGCTCCAAACCATTCTATTTCTCTTTGGCAGAAATCCATGTGTTCATATTATAGCCCCAACTGCCCAGACTTTATTATTGTTTGAAAGACCCACCCTGCCAGCCAGGCTGCAGTACCACTCCATGTTTCCCAGCACTATCCTTATCAGCAAGGACCCCCCCATCCCCCACCCACACACAACACTCCAACCCCATTATCTCCATCTGGCAGCTGTGTAATTGATTTGCCTGTCACATCCTTCCATGATTTTTCCCATAGAGACTTGAGAACAGACACACGTCAGATTCAAGAGAAGTAGAGTGACGTCATCCCTGGGGGCAAGTGAGCTGATGTGGACCATAGAACACCTGGCGGCACTCAGTGCTCACAGGTGACTGTGCCTGCAGGTGCTACTGAAGTATTGCTTTAGCTTGTGACACAGTGACAATTTTTTTGTTCTTTTGCTGTTTAAAATTGGTTTTCAAACCCTAGAAGCTATAAGCAGCTGCTATCATTAAATACTGACATTTGGGGGAGTCCTGTTTGCTTTTGATAATATTGGAGTTAGGGCTGACATTATTTTTAGAAAATGCACACACAGATAATGCTGCTCACTGGTACACCTGGAAAATGTCTAGCAGCTGTGCAGCTTGGAGGAGGAGCATTCTTGAATCAGCTCAAAGAAGAGCCTGGCTGTTTAGGAGGAGCAACAGATGATCTGGTGAGAGCACACAGAGTAATGGAGCCATCGACAGAAGCCAGTGCTGGAGTTTCTCTCTCAGGAAATGATCATGAGGCCATTATTTCAAAGTGGGCGTGGAACAGTGCATGCGTTCTTTCACAGCGTTAGTCACCAAGGATGGCTGTGCCAGGCACATACTCTGAAAGGGTCTGATGAAAAGCTGCCTCAGGCAGTGGTGTGGCCAAAGTGCTGCTTGGCTTCAAGTAATCTGAGGACTCTTCAGTAAGTGAGACTGATAGGTCTTTGCAATCCTAAAACAGTCCCCAAAGAAGGGTTTCTGCTATTTCTTCTAGCATTTAGTACATACTTGGTCTCCAGTGTTATTTTTCCAGTTTGGGAAGAGGGAGACAGGCAGGCAGGCTCAGGTGGAGGTGGGGTGGGGGGTGGTATTAAAGTTGGGATTGACTCCACTGCTGAGGCACACCCCAGGTCCTTGGTTCTCTCAGACACGACCTCCCTAAGTATGTACTTGATCCCCTGCTTCTATTCAGCACATACCGTGCATCTTCACTGCCTTGTGCTGAGGTAGTAAACTCAGTTCATCTAAACACCCTATATTACCTTTTTGTGATCTTTATCAGTGACTTATTTCTTTGGGAGTGGGGATAACACCCCCAAAGCACAGGAAGCAAAAGCAAAAATAAACAGGCTTATATCAAATCAGAAAGCTTTGTATAACAAAGGAAATGGCAGCCTTTAGAGTGTGGGATGTTTGCAAACTATGTATCTGACAAGAGGTTAATATTTAGAGTTGCAAAGAATACAACAGAAAAAAGACCAAGATGTTCCAATTAAAAACTGGACACTAGACCTAAATAAATACTTTTGAAAAAAAAACATAATGCATAGACAGCAGATATATGAAGAAATGTTAAAAATCAGTAACCTTGGAAATGTGCATCACAACCCTAGTGAGATGAGAAGTCTGCTGTCAAAGACACAGTACTATAAGAACATGCACCCTGTGCTGGCTGGTGTCATGTCAACTTGACACAGTTACCTGAAAGGAGGGAGGGAACCTCAATTGAGACTATGCTTCCTTAAGACTGGTTGTAGGGCATTTTCTTAATTAGTGATTGATTGTGAAGAAGAGCTCAGCCCATTGTGTGTGGTACCACCCCCAGACAGGTGGTCCTGGATTCTATAAGAAAGCAGGCTGAGCAAGCCCTGAGGAGCAAGCCAGTAACCAGTATCCCTCCATGTCCTCTGCATCAGCTTCTGCTTCAGGTTTCTGCCCTGTTTGGGTTCCTGTCCTGATTTCCTTTGTTGATGAGCTACAGTGTAGAAGTATAAGACAAATAAACCCTATCTTCCACTTGTGTTTTTTGGCCATGATGTTTCATTGCAGCAAGAGAAACCCTAACTAAGACACATGCCCTTGTGAGAGTTGTTAGTACAGCCATCATGAAGAACACTGTGTAGAAGTTCCTCCAAAGATTAAAGTTGGAGTTACCATATGATCCTCAGCCCGTTGATTAATGCACACAGCAGAATGCTATTCACCCATAAAGGGATGAAATTACTCATTTGCACCTGTGGGTGGAACGGGAGGTCATTATGTTGCTGAAGTAAGCTGCCACAGAAAGACAAGTACCACATGATCTTATGGTCCAATTCTGAAAAGCGTCTTTTCATAGGTGGATCAGAATGGTCACTAGCTAGGGAGAGAAGGAGAGATGGGGAGAGGTTGGGCAGTAGGCCCAGACTATAGTTAGGTCAAATGCACACACTTCTGGCACTTCTGGGTACTGCATAGGAGAGCAGGACTGCTTTACTTTGTTCACTTAGGACCACGTCTCTCCCATGAAATACTTGCAGGATAAATATATACAATGAGCATCTAAATAAAATATTTACTGGTAATAATTTACTTTAATTTAATAATAATAATTTACTTTAAAACAATTCATATACATATACTCTTTTCACTTATTAAAGATAAGGCAAAATTACATACAAATGAGATGAATATGTTCATTGTTTTCTCTAAAAAGTTAAATATTGGCTGGGCATGATAGGTTATAGCTATAATCCCAGCTCTTGGGAGGCAGAGGCAGAGGCAGGAGAATTGCTCCAAGTTTGAGGGCAGACTAGACTATATACCAAATTCCAGGCCAGCAGGAGACCACATAGCGAGAGCTGGTATCGAAAAAAAAATAAACAAAAAAGAATTGAATCTTAGCTGAATATTTGACGCTGCAGAATATATACTATCTTCAATAGATTTTAGAATTGATCGGTATTTTGATCTTAAAATCATCAATACTGAAAATGCCCATTTTGCATAAATATGTAGCACAAGATGGCAGAAGTATATGTAGTCTACATCAGAAGTCTTTGGAAATTCTGTCCTAATCCTAAAATAAAATTCATGGAATGGCCTTATGGAACTCTAGTCAGCAACTAAAATATCAGTTTTAAAAATCAGATATTCTAACACAGTGTGATCCAAAGATAACTCATATGCTACATACCTAAGGATAATAGTAGAAAATGTGAAAGGCTGTTTTCTTTTTTCTTTTTTTTAAATGAAGTCAATGTTTGTACACAAGAAGAAAGCTTTGCATGTGAAGTAAAGGTATAACAGACTTGAGTTTGGGTGGCGGTGCTTCAGTGTGAAGTAAAAAAACTTCAGTGTGAGGTATAACAGAGTTGGGTTTCGATGGAGGTGCTTCAGGAAGCACTCCTTGGTGTCTCATGCACACTGGTGCTTGTGCGCAGTGCATGTGTGTGTATTACATGGTCAGAACCAAGCCTATAGTGAAGTCTCACTGTGCAACACAGGCAGGCTCTGGCAGAAACACCATGGGCCCAGTATGTATTTGATTTTGGGTTAATTTTTGGTCATTGCATGCTTAGAAACCACCTATTCCTGCCAAAATTTTGGAAACCTTATATTCCACTGTTTGACTCCATATGGGATTATGAATAAGTTTAAGAAGCCAAACAATAGTACAATAATTAATGTACTATTTATTGCTTCTTGGCATTGGCTGTGTGTTTTAGCTTTCTAAGACAGTCCTCCCTTTATCGTAACTGTTTTCATGATACATAGTTAAAGTACGTGTAAATAATAGCATGAGCTTTGGGGAAAATGTCAAAGTTATTGCCCAATGTAATATGCTGTTTCTGGAAACTGCATGTTCTTCACAGAAACTAGATAGATCATGTAAGTGGATGGAACATGATGTGAAGCCAAAGCTCAGAGTTTTCCTAGAGAAAAGCTTTGTCTGGTGACTTACAACAGCTGTTGAAGGCTGTTCCACACATCAGTGCCGTGTCATTGTAGACACTGCTAATCAGTGCCCGCCTTCAGCCCTGTTGAGAAAACAGTTGAAAGCACTTTTCTTTGCTGCTTATTTTTTATGTCTTGAAATGTAATATATGCTTAGCAATGTTACAAAGTTTTTAAAAGAATATTCCCAAGTATAAGCAACAGTAAAGATTATGATTAAAAAGAAACCAAAAGTAGTACAAACTAAAAAATAAATGAAGGTGGTAGAGACAGGATCAAATACACTAATGAACAGAATAAATATGAATGGACTAAATTCAATTAAAAAATAAAATTGGACAGATTCTCCCTTTAAACACCTAGCTCTGATGATAAAGTACTTTGCACGAAAGGCGAGGCCTTGGGTTTTATCCTTGGCACCAATTTACTAAATCCTGGTGAGCATGGCATAGTGTTCACTGTTGCTTTTTTGTTAAGATTTACTTTTTATGTACATTGGAGTTTTGCCTGCATGAGGATGACAGATCCCCTGGAACTGGAGTTACAGACTGTTGTTAACTGCCAAGTCAGTGCTGGGAATTGAACCCAGGTCCCAGGTCCCAGGTCCTTTGGAGGAGTGGCCAATGCTCTCAACCACTGAGCCATCTCTGCAGCCCTCAGTGGTACAATCTTGTAATGTCAATACTTTAGGAAGCTGATCCAGGAGGATTTCCTGAGTTCAAGTGGACCAGGCTGGTCTACGTATGCCAGCCTATGCTTCTCTGCAAGGCTCTATCTCATGACAGACTTCCCCAAAATTCCTGCATATTTGAAAACAAATACATTTAAATAACATCTGTCAAATCCTGTATCTGTGGGTAGTGGTGGCAGCAGTGATGGTGGCTCACATCATTAATCCCAGCACTGAGGAAGCAAAGGCAAGCCTGTTCTACAGAGCAAATTCCAGGACAGCTGGGGCTACACAGAGAAACCCTGTCTTAGGGGTGGAGGTGAGAAAGAAAAGAAAAAGAAAAAGAAACAGTCAAATCCTGTGTCTGGGGGCTAGAGTGATTAGCTCAGTGGTCACCAAATCCAGAGAACCTGTGTTTGGTTCCTGTGCCCACCAACAACAGGCAGCTCACAACTGCCTGTAGTGCCAGATCCAGAGGACGTGGTGCTTTCTTCCAGCTTCTGTGCACATACCCTCAGACAGACATACATGTACATATAATTAAGAAGAATAAAATAAATATTTTTAAGATTCTGTATTTGCAAATTGTGAGGACATGATTAAATGGTTAAAGTCATAAGATGAAAGAAACGTATCACCTTTCCCTGCCATGGTTGGAATCAAGGTTGCTGTCAAGTGCTTTAACTACAAAAGTGCATTTGTAGCCCAGCATTAATTATTTATTTACACACTAGTTCCCCCATCCCTGAGGTATGAGAATAGTGAAATATTGAAAAACCCATAGAAGTAATTCAGCACAGAAAATGAATGGAAAAGCAGCATTTGAATATATGTTTGGAACAACACAGTCACTCAGGATTCAAGTCTAAGCTCTCCACTTAGGTTTCCACCCCTTCACTCTGATTAGAGGATTCCTTTCTAGTACTGCAAGAGAATTAGAAGAGTAGAACTTTACTGTTCTGTAACTGACCAACAGATGGGGATGGAGAATCTGTTACTAACCATACAGGAGGCTATGTGGGAAAGGCCAGAGCTCTGGGGCCAGGTGTCTTTGAGATGACTCAGCTGTCTCTCTCACTGGCTGTGAGGCTAAGGCCACTCCTTTGTGCCTTAGGTTCTCTGTGGATGGAGTGATGATACTTCCTTGGATGGCTGTTGGTAGGCTTAATGAATTCAAGTACAGAAAAGCCCTATATAGTGCTGACACACAGTTCTTGCTGTATTTTGTGGCAGTGATTTTTGCTGTGCTTTCCTTTCCTCTTCACCCATCTTCCCTCTTCTCCACAGAGTTGGGTCTAAAACTCAGGGTCTTACCTACCAGCCAGTACATACCCAGCTCCTGGGGAATGGGTTTTGTTGTTGCTGTTGTTTTGGTTTTGTTTTCTTGATGAGAGGTTGACTGGTTGGTTTTGTTTGTTTGAATTTTGAGACAAGGTCTTATCCTGGAGCTAAGGTTGATCTGGAACTCACAGTGATAGTTCGAAGTGTCCCATAAGTCCAGGAGTGTGTCACCATCTCTGGCTACTGTAGCCTTCCCTTTTGTAGTGTTGTCTTTAAGCCATTTTGGTCTTAAACAAAAGCTTAAATTAATTAATATGCCTCAGCTTTGATAAAAAGTGTTTTCCCTTTCATGCTGTAAACTGACCCTTTTTTATATGTCTTTAAGGTGAGTGACTTCACATGGAGCCATGATGGGACTCAAGCGCTTATTTCATACCGAGATGGGTTTGTCCTGGTTGGTTCTGTCAGTGGACAAAGACACTGGTCATCTGAAATCAACTTGGAAAGCCAGATCACGTGTGGAATATGGACTCCCGATGACCAGCAGGTAATGCTCTGAAATGTCACTGTGCACTGTTACTGTAGCAGGTTGAGGAAGAGGCTGAGGGGACAGATACAAAAATCTCTTACAGCATCACAAAGCATGGAGGGCACCATTCACCAGTGTAAACGCTTGTCAGGTGTGCAGGGAAAGATTAAACAAGAACACTGTCCAGGTTAAAATTAAAATATGTAAATGAAACAAAAGATTAGAGAAATCCCAATGTGGTAATTCAGTTAATATTTTAATTATATGAAATGTTCATAAAAATTCATTTTTAAAATCCAAATAAACAGCCAATTAATCAGTAGGTAACAAGTAGAAAAGGAAATTCAGCTAATGTCATATTGTGGAAAAATTTTTTCTCTGTGGGAACAATTAGCACAGTTCACTTATGAGTAGTAATACTGAGATAACACAGATGGTGCTGAAGTTATTGGGCCAGTGTGTGACTGGTGTCCCCATCACTTCTGGTCAGGGAAGCAGTTGGCCAGCATCTGTCAGAGGTTTACAGCTTGTCATCTACTCTGCGAATATACCTCCGGAATTCTGAGAGCAAAAGCAGGAAGAATCAGCTGCACTCATAAGGCTTTCTGTGTGATGGAAAAGCAGGGCCTTACCCGAGAGTAGGTGCATTCAGTGTGGCTGAGCCACTGACAAGATCTATGGAGATAACAGGCCACAGACCATAGTTATGAAAATGGCAGGCTGACAGAGCTCTTAGAGAATTAGGGAGAAATCAGGATATGAAATGGTTGTCATGTGTTGCCACACTATAAACTGCCCCAAGGATCCCTGAGCACAGTGAGAAGAACTGGGAGGATGTGATGGGAGGATGTGAGTCAGACAGAGCACCGAATACCTTCGTGACAGCAAGCCACTGGTTGCTTTTCTCAAGTATAATTTCAACTGTTTCTTTGTTGTCCCTATTTGTTTCAATGGTAAAATAGCATAATGACTCATAAAATTGTGTATTGATCATTTTAAAATATGTTATTGACTAATTTAAATCTTTGCAAATATAAAACATGTGTTTACCAAGTATAGCAAAATCCATAAAATGCCAAATTTCATACCAGAGATGGAATAAATTTTTTAAAGCAAGCAGTATAAAATGGAAACTGTATCTTCTGTTTTTGAGCCATATTTCTTCCCTTTTTATTTATTTATTTTCACTAAATGGTTACCTTGCATTCATTTCATGTTGCCATCATATCAAGTTTAAATAGGCAAAAGTTTTTCAAGTGTTGAATATTGCTTCATGCTAAAAGTTTGTGTTGTGTTAAGAAAGGTAACCCTGTCTGGATATTGGATAGTGAATGGGGACTATGTATATTTTAATGGGGCTGCCATAGCAAAGTACCACACATAGGGTGGCTTAACCAGCAGAAACTCATTTCTCACAGTTCTGAGGCTGAAGGTCAAGACTGAGACATTAGCATTGTGTCTTTGGCTTATGGATGGCCAGTGCTTACAGTGTCCTTACGTGACTCCAGCCCTGGAGTCTCTCTCCCAGGATGCCCATACCTGTTGGATTAGACTGTCACTAGCATGTCTTCAGTCCTCATCTGAAAATATAGTCACATTCAGTAAATTTGCTGGAAAGCAACATAATTTTGGGGGCATCTAATTCAGTTTGTAACAGGGTAATAAATTATTGGAAAAGAGAAGTTCACAAAAACAGCACTAGTGTAAACAGTTCGATAATTTTGGAAAGTGTTTATATTAGAACACATGTGTTTATATTAGAACAATTGTAGGATTTTTGGGGAGGGACAGCATACATAAAAAAAAATAACAGATATGATCAGCAAAAGAGTCTGTAGGTCTTACACTGATCCAGGGCAATGGAGCAGTGATGCTTTTGCCATTCTAAGAAGCCTCTGACATTGGTTTCCTCTGTGTTTTCTTGGGTTTGGGAGACCAGAGCACTTGAATATGAAAGTGCTTTGAGATGTAGACATTTGCATTATCCCACCAGTGGGTTTAAGGTCTTGGCCACCTGTCCTGCCACTGATGCATGCTGCTGAGAGCTTGACTTTGATCTCCCTTCTTTGGAAAGGCAAAGGTAGTAACAGACCTCCAGCCACTGGCCAGACAGGCTTCGTCTGTCTGACAAAAGCCTCAAAATCAAATTTTGTGAATTTAGTCTAAAAGATGAACTCACACGTGTAGTAACATGGGAAGAGATTCTCTGGTTTTTCCTAGAAGAATCCCAAGAAAAAAACAGTCGTCAGGGGCTTTCCTCTGCAATAGCTATAGAGTTCCACAGGACTGTGTGCCGTGGAAGAAAAGTCTTTACCTAACTAACATACTGGTTGTTAGCAGTACCCAACTTCAATTGCCCTGAGTACAGTTCATACTTGAAGTTCGAGAAGTCTTTAACACACCTGTTGTTGGCTGTGCCCAACTTTAGTTGCCCTGAGTACAGTTCATACTAATTTTGTAACAGCTTGGCTTCAGGTTAGGGGAACTTTGTTTATAATACATGAATGTGTTGTGGGAATCTTTCTGAAATAAACACTCCAATGCCAGTGAGAGTGGAACAAAGAAGTCAGTAGTGGACTGGAGCCAGGGTAGCTTCTAGAAGGCCTCAGCCTCCGGTCTAGTTGCATTCTCATTTACCCTAAAGCCATAAGGTAGGACGGTCAAGCAAGAGAGCAGAAGCGCATGCGGCAGTCAGCAAGTTGTTAAGGCAGTGAGCCATCATTTTAGCTATGTCTTCAGGTCTCCTTCTGTTCTAGGGGGCAAGTGAAGTCGTGCTTGGAAATGAGCAGTGCACCAGTGCTTGAGGTAAATCACTAAATCAGTGCCTAATAATTGGTCTTCTCTATCCTACTCTAACTCAAGTGCACTGCCTATTAAAATACACTTAAATGTTTTTCATGAAAGGGGAAGAAAGACATCCCTCTAAAACACAACCCCATGATCAGGCCTTTGAAATAACACAAATGCCCAGTTTGCCACTCACCAAAAAGGAGGCCCAAGGTAGTTATCTACACTTGAATTTTTATAAATTGTCCCAAGTGATGCTGGGATCTTCCTAACTGGATCAGTGTGGATTGTCTAGACCTCTCCTGTGCAAGGACCCAGGACCAGGGCCAGTGTGTGCTCACCTGGTCCTATTGTAACTCCTACTTTCAAACATTGCTCCTGCCTCTCCTGTGACAGCCAGAAAAGCCTTACAGTCTGATTTTAAAATGCTACAAATTTCTCCAAGCATATTCCTAAATATGATGAAAGCAATTTTTTTTTCCCTGTAGCTACTAACAAGCTTCTTCACAAAAGGGCTGAGTTGGCAGGCATGGTGCATTTGGGCAGAGGCAGGCTGACCTGTAAGTTTGAGGCCAGCCTAGGGTTTGAGAGGTTCTAACGTCTGGATCTGTGCTTCTCACAGTACTTAAGATATGTAGTGACCAGAGCAGAGTCTACAGGACTATCACTGGTCCCTAGGACAAACCAAGCCCAGCACAAGCTAACCTAGGAAGGACAGATTTCAGCTGGCAGTGACTGGTAAAGCTGATTGAGCTGCTCTGCCATCTGTGCAGACTTGATAGGCTGACTTCAAGAAAGAGGCCCACTGACACTGTATCAGTTAGGAAGGAGCAAAAGCAGGAAGAAGGTTCCTGGAAATGGAGTTCAGATTAGATTCTACTTAGCTGACCTCCAGCAAAAGCAGGAGATGGGACCCTGTTTTGGGTTGTGGCCCAGATCCTGTTCTCTTAGACACCTTGAGCCTTCACAGGCAGGAACTTGGGAGAGGCCAGTGTTATTCTAGGGACATGGCCTAGCCTTGAGTTTTTAGAAAACAGTATCAGTGTTCACTCAAGGATGGGAGAGGCAGAAGGGGAGTGAATGAAACTATTTGTGTTGAAATCCTGCCTTTTGTTAGGTCACAGTTAGGTGTAGTCAAGGTCAGGACTCAAAGGTTTTGAGTGGAGTGTGATTGGGGATGGTTTTTACATTGAAACAGTACATATCTCATCTCTCTGACAAGACATACATGCTCTCAGTGCCAATGGCAGACATGTTACATGGGCTGTTGTGGGAAAGCATGAAAAGACAGCCATGACAATTCCACAGGAATGCCTGTGGAACCCTTGAAAGTTGGTTCTTGAAAGTTAGACACTTGCCTTCAGATAACCATCCTCAGACAGGGGTGGTAGGAAAGCATATGAAGAAAGTCTAACCCAAGGTTGACTTTAAGATGTGTAGACAACAATTTTCTTCCACATCCCATTCTTAATTTGTTTAGTGTAAATTTCATGAAAGAGCTCTACTTAATATATCTTTTAGTGTGGACAACTTGCTAGATTAGCAGACGGAAAGATACATTAAATAGATGGAGACAAGGTTCATAAACTCAGGAGGTTAGGTTACATTTAGGGCAGGTGAGGTTTAGACATTCAACAGAATACTTTTTAACACTGAATATAAACTCTTGCCACAAAATCCATGTATTAAACCTGGTTTCCAGAATTATCCAAACCTCCTCTTAAACATCATTTAATTTTTTAATACTTAAATATTTTCTTTAGCAAACATATCCAAAATATGAAGCTTCATGTTATAATTTTGTTTATGTATCAGAATAATCTAAACTGTTCAAGATACCTCTAAGCCACAACAGCTTGCATCTTTCTTTCCACATTGTCATTCTCAAAGGTATTCCATAGAGGGGCTAGGAAAAAACAAAAACAAAAAAACTTATCAAACCCCTGTAAATTCTTCTTCACTTCTATTATAGTGCATGACTTTCTCATCTACCCCATAGTAGTCGATGAGCCCGGTGAGGCTGAGTTTTCTCATCATCCTCAGACATGACTGCCTGCATCTCATACAGCAGCCGCTGGCTGCACTTCCACCACTTCTTTATTAACAACTCTAACTCAGACAGGTTCTTTATTCTATACATTTTGACAAGTTTTAATCTCCGAAGGTCTTCCTTCTCTTGAACCTGCTTTGCCATTTTTTATTTTTCTTCCTTTAATCTTTCTTTAGTATTCTCACTCTCAAAATCATTTTGGAGGGCACTGGATGACCCAGGACCAAGTGACTTAGATTTGCATGTATTTATATTCTCCAAGCTGTCTTTTTCAGATGCACTGTCTTTGAGTTCCAAACTTCCTTAAAACTCTGAACAGCTTTTTTCTTTTGATGATGCTCCTGATTCTGAAAAGGTGTTCGGAAAAGGTTCCTCCTCTACTTGGTCGCTTCACCACACTACAAAAAGAAGAGATGATGACCTTGTCTTCTTTAATGTTTCTTTAAGTGTTCCACTAATAAGTTGTTTTCCTAAACTATTTGTTTGGGGTGATGGTAGAGTCTCACTGGTCTCGGGAGTGTCAGGTAAAGTCAATGCTGAATCTGCTGCGCTCTCCATCTTGGTGGATGTTGAATCTGATTCGCTCTCCATCTTGAAGCGAACTCCTGATTTCCTTCTTTTTCAGCCATGCCCACAGCAGAACAACAGACCCACAGCCAGCATAGCGACCACAGTAGACGGCCTCACCCTCAATATATCTTATAATTTATTATATCTAGTGATTCTGTAATTAGTTGAGCCCAGAGAGAGACATGAACAACCAGAACTGTAATGTGTGTGTTGGAGCAGGGTCTTGCTAAGCAGCTCAGGCTGGGCTCAAATGAGTACAGAGATTGCAGATGTGCACCACTGTGCCTAGCATTGGGTCTTAATTGCTATCCTCAGTGACCAAAACAGCAACAAAATGTGAAACACAATGTAAAAATACAGTAGCTGTACCTCTTTCAGTTAAACAAATTTCTGCCACAAAGCACTCAAAAATTTCAGAATACATGCAAAACAAAACAAAATGCTCCAAACTAGAAATAATGTAGCATACTGGTAGGATGAGATGGCAGCAAAGGCAGGAGTCTATCTGCTGACTCTTTTCCTTGTTTTCTCAGTTGTGGTGATTCATGTCCTCCTCGACTGTTTTAGAAAGGAACCTTCCCATGTGTGATTAGTTCAGGGCTTAAAATAAGGACGGGCTTCCCTTTCATAGTGTAGTACCACTACAGAACCATTCCTGGATCTGTCTGTAGGGAGGAGGGAAGAGAACTTGTGGCATTGCTTTAATGGACAGACTCATTTCTGGGCAGCAGAGGGTAACTGCTCGCAGCTGCTAGGTTAGTTTAGAAGTAAGTGGTCTTTTCTTCAGTAAAGTGATGAGATGTCTTCAGACTTACAGAATTGCATATTTAGCCCTAAGACACAGATTTAGGAGTGATGGTTGCAGTCAAGTGTGAAACTTCTTGTCTTTTCAGAATGCACCAGGAAATAGTCTGTCAGGTGAGCAGTTCTTTCATTTACAGCTGCCCCATTTTAGAAGCTGACTCTTTAGTTACATAATGTCTGGGCCTAGCCTTGAAGCTCCTCTGAAGGCCACTGTTGTAAAATGCACCCGGGAGGTCTTTGAGGGGGGAGTTTGTGTGAGTTGTACATCAGAACAGTGGCTTCCACTGAAGAAAAGGAGGCTGTCCTTTCATTCTGGTCGTCAGCAGCCTGTTCAGGTTTGCCACTAACCATGCTAATGTTTCCCCCTTATGAAAAAGTCACCACCTCCTTCAGGAACTAATTCCAGTGCTGCTAATTACACACCATTACCAAGAGCTGTTTGTGGAAGCATGTGTTGTTGACATGCAGTTCGTTGGTCTGGTCTTACTCAAGAGTATAGATGAGTATTGTGCCAGAAGATGATGATACTGGTGAGATGCTGCTGCTTCCAGAATCAGAGTCCTGGGAATGATGCTTCACCTTCACTCTCTCCCACGCAGGGTTGGAGTGTGGCTCACAGTTCACTGTAAGCCACTAGTAACAGTTGTGCTCATCTAAAACTAGTTCTATTTGGAAATGAAGAGATGTACATACTGCCTTAGTTAGAGTTTCTAGTGCTGCAATGGAACACCATGACCAAAAGGCAACTTGGGAGCAAAGACTTTGTCTTACACTTCCACATGATTTCGTCATCAAAATCAAGACAGGAACTCAAAAAGGGTAGGAACCTGGAGGAAGGAGCTGATGCAGAGGCCATGTAGTCCTGCTTACTGGCTTGTTCCTCATGGCTTGCTCAGCCTGCTTTCTTACCAGAACCCAGGATCACCAGCCCATGGATCACACCACCCACAGTGGGCTGGGCCTTCCCCCATTAATCATACTAAGAAAATACTCTACAAGAACTATAGCCTGATTTCATTGAGGTGTTCTCCCTCTCTCTCCTACTCCCCTCCTCTTCCCCTTTCGCTTCCCCATCCACTCCTTCTCTTCCATTTCTCTTTAGAAAAGGGCAGGCCTCCCACAGGTATCAACCAGCCATGGTATATCAAGCTGTGTGACTAGGCACATCCTCTTTTTTCAGGACTGGATGAGACAACCTGGTAGGAGGAAAGTGTCCCAAAAGCTGGCAACAAAGTCAGAGACAGCCTCTGCTCCCAGTTAGGAGTGCCACAAGAAAAACCAAGCTATACAACTGTAACATATGCATAGGGTCTAGGTCAGTCCCATGCAGGCTCCTGGTTGTCAGTCAGTTCCGTCTCTGTGAGCACCTGTGAGCCCAGGTTAGTTGCTTCTGTCGATTTTCTTGTGTACTCCCTCTGATTCCTACAATCCTTCCTCCCCCTCTTGCACAGGATTTCCCAAGCTCCACCTGATGTTTGGCTAATGTGGGAAATTACCAATATGGAGCCAGTTAAAAATACAAGGGAATTTAATAAGGAAAAGCCTTACTTACAGAGCAACCTAGCCAGCCAGTGTGGCAGCAGTAAGTATAGCAAGCCGAAGACCACGCCCTTGCAGTCGTGGTCAGACACACCTGTAGCCAGCCCCTAAGCAGGCGTGGATACATCATCCCCTACAATTCCCCTTTTAGTCTAAAAGAGGATTAAAACTTGACAGTGTAAATTATCCAAAATTAAAAATAATAAAGGTGAAATATAAAAAGAGAACACATGCTGCTTATGTCACATCCTAACTATGTCTATTTTAACTAAACCCTAAAGTCATCTGAAAGAGGTGTCCAAGCCTGAACACCTCCTTCCAATCCCAACCATAAACAATAGGAAGCTATCCCTAACTAGGTATATACACTATCCTAAGTGACAACAATGGGGGAAAGGGGGCGTAGCATCCTCCAAGTTACTTCCTGCTGAAATGGGACTACGACGATAGCTTTGTAGGAAGAAAATGTTAGTGTAGTGAAAGTCTTGAATGGATTGTATCCAGTCCATGTTAGGTAGGATTCACTTGATTGAAGATCTCACTGGAAATCCTCAACTTGATTGAAGACAGTACCTGAAGCTCTGGCTGGAGTGTCAGTTGAAACGGAGCAAGTTGGATCCAGTGCAGTCGAGGAGGTGTGGCCCATTTTCTTTCTGGGGTGTCCAGGGATTGCTGTCAGGCAGGTCTTCATTAGCTGTGTGGGACTCAAACATAGATGTTAGCAGAGAAATGTTTGCTTGTGTAAGTATGCATACTAGAAAAGGCAACCATGGGAGCATGAGAGGGTGTACACCTTGAAAGCATGAGCCAAGAAAAGACAAAGACAATCCCCAAATTCTTCTTTTATTATGTATTTCATCAATTGGCTTCTTGAAACTCTAAAGTTTAATTAAACAACGTGCTCGGATTTTAGAGGAGGAAAGCCAAATCCAACTCTAAATCCAGCATGGTTTAATTGAATAGGCAGTAGGAAATAATGATAAAGAGTTCTCTGAGAGACAGCCGTAAAGTTAACTATATGGCACATTTCTTTGTTTGATGATTATAGCTACCTTCTCTTCTTAAGTATCTACCCATGGAGTGTCCTTTGCCTTCTGGAGATGTGTTTTCCCGTGAAGATAAAAGCAAAACACTTCCCTTTCCTTTGGGAAGTGTCTATTTAGTTTATAAGATATACCTTAGTAGAATACCCGTCATTTTTCCTTGTCAAGAGGTTTTTCCTTTTCAACTCAAACCTTGATCAACTTTGATGGTATCCAAAGTTTTTCTTCTCCTGTGGAAACCAGTGCAAAACCCCTATCCCATCGTAACACATGTCCTGGTTTCCATACAGAGGTTAGTACATTTTTGGAGTATACCAGCTGATTCAGTTCAGCAGTTTTTTTCTGTAGTCCAGTGTCTTTCTGCAGCTGCTTGTCCTTTCTCATTGGCATTAAGAAAGTTTAGTGTTAATAAAGCATTATGCAACCTATGTTTGGGGGATTTAGTCTTCCAAGCTTTTTTGTGGAGCATCTCCTTAAGTGTTCTATTAGATCTCTCAACCACTGCTTGTCCTGTAGGATTGTGTGGTATACCTGTGACATGCTTTATGTTATAATATCTGAAGAACTTTTCCAATTTAGTGGAGACATATGGTGGAGCATTGTCAGTTTTTATTTGTGCAGGTATACCCATAACTGCCATCACCTCTAGCAGGTGTGTAATAACAGAATCAGCTTCTTCAGAGTTAAGAGCAGTAGCCCATTGGAACCCTGAGAATGTGTCTATACTATGATGCACATATTTCAAATTTCCAAATTCTGCAATGTGAAAGACATCCATCTGCCAAACCTCATTTCTCCGAATGCCCATAGGATTACAGCCTGCTGGCAATGGAGTTAAAAAGAACAAGTAGGACAGTTTCTCACTATCTCGTTGGCTTGTTGCCAAGTAATGGAGACATCCTTTTTCAAACCTTTGCTGTTTACATGATGTTTCTTATGAAATTCTG